CCAAAAAAGGTCTTCCTTCTCCACCATGATCCTATTTCTACATCAAAGTCCAAACAAACTGATGATTTATCTTTAAAAACCATGAGGAATGACAGTTCTCATAAAACACTATTCTTCCTTACTTGATTTCCAAATCAAATGAGCCAAACAGGAAACCCTCCTTAACCACTTGCTTATTCTATTTTTTTTTTTTAATTGTTTATCTAACTTGTGTTACAAGCAGGTTAGATTTGTAACAGAACACAAAACTAACTGTATTTAGCGCTATATTTGAAAAACAAGTAATCTGATTACAGTTAATGAATATATATTTTGAACAGTTATTATTGGTGGAAAAGTTTCCTCACAAAATGTAATCTCCATTACTAAAGCTAAAACCTAAAGAAATCATCACGGAACAGTTTTTCTGTCCTTACCACTTAATTGTTTCAATACAAACTAAAAAGCGTTGTGAAAACTCCCACTCTTGAGAACACCTCTTATATATTGGTGAGATTAAAATGAATATACCAAAAATATGCTGCATCACCTCTTCTGCATAATACTCTTCATAAACTTCCGCACAACCGAATAGTTTTTTTATATTAGTTTTTCAATTTTATCCGAATAGTGAAAATAATAGGAGCAAGTTGTAAAACTTTAGACGGAATTTGGAACCATATTTGGTCCCCGGGTGCTGCACTGCGGCTGGGTTAAATGCAGAGGACACATTTAGTTTTAATGTATGCGAGTACGGAGACAATACATACATATAAATCGTAATAGTATGCTCTTTCTGCGCTTCTGCTTAACAGCGTGTTGTCAGGTGTCTCGGATTCGGAGCCTGTTATGAAACCTTTTGGAGAAAAACAAATTTATTAAAAAAAAATAATCTCTCCGCACCGAATATTCGAATATTCGCTGCTGATTACTACCGTATATCCAGAGCCCGAAAAATGGTATTCGGGACAGCCCTAATGTCTACCCTACTTTTATAATTTTCGAATCATAAATCTATTGATCATAAATCTATCAATTAGATTTATGATCCGGCTGAACAAAACGTGATCCGTCTCTTAAATGTATGTCAACCACAGACCTTATTTCCGGGTTTTAGGACGCATCACTGTGGCTCTCTATTTCACACACTTTCCTGACTTCATCAGTAAGTCCATTGTCTCTGGAATTCCATTAGGCAGAACTAGCTTCCTGGTGTCATCGGCATTCAGAAGAATTTGTAACTTGGCTGGCGTTTTCACGGTCATGTCAGGCAACCCAAAAGGAACTAGAAAAAACAAGAACATAAACAATGATATTAGTAATAGTGCAATGATACACTGATGACTGAATGTCAGTGTATGTCTCATAATAGTGACATGCCTGGAATGACAGAGCAAATTATTGCCACCAGTAACTATCAATAAACATACAGATGTGAGGATTGACTTTACATGCAACAATATTAATGAAGTGCAGTCTTGTATTTTGTATTTACTTGTACAATACATACTTTTTCTCATTTAACTTTAAAGGTCACATGTCATGGCCATTTCCACTGATCATAATTCCATTGTTGATGTCTACTAGAATAGATTTATACTGTGCAATTTTCCAAACTCACATTGTTTCGCATACAGCATCTCTGTAAACTACGTGAATTCACTAGGCTTGTTTGAGACAAGCAAGACCTGCGCAGACCTGCGCAGTTGCGATCGACGTCTTGCTAGTGCGTTGCATGATGGTTAGTCATTTTGTCCGACTTGCTCTGGAGGCCCACCCACATGAGACTTTGAAATTTCGCGGGACAAAGACGCCCGCAGCCTTGAGAGCGAGGCGAGGCGAGTTGGCGCAGTTCCTCTCCACGGGCTGCGGAAGCGAAATGCTTGATGGGAAACGTCTCGCTGGTATCTCGAGCTGAGCGCTCATTGGTGGTTTTTACCACGTGCTGCTGATGAAACTCTCCAATTGGCTGGCAAAAGTTTGTTGTTGTTTTGTGTCAGTTTTACGTCGCCACATCCATTCCCATTTTTCATCATTGTTCCACAATGTTTATCATCATGAAATTAATATCTATATATGTTATACTATACTGCTTACCGTTTTCATACTTTATATATCTTAGCATATTCATACACACTGTTCATGCTGCTCACAGGCTGATATCTAGTGTATTCATACCCCTCACTGTTTATTCATCATTCAATTCATTTTTATTCTGTAGGTTGTGTACATTACTTTTCACTTTACTGCTTGTTGCACCTGGTTAGAAGCTAAACTGCATTTCGTTGTCTCAGTACCTGTAATATGTGCAATAACAATAAAGTTGAATCTAATCTTGAGCAGGAACAAATGCATTTACTTAGTACATATCTGACATTAACGAATATACACATTTGTGCATTCTTTATAAATGCAAACTTGTCAAGACCACTGACGGAAGTAGTTTTGAAAAGTAATAAGTGGTTCTGTCTTTTACATGTATTCAACCCCCCTTGTACTGATTTGTTTAAAAATGAACTGACACTTGAGTCATTCATTTGTAGTGATATAATAATTGTGGGATTTCTATTGCATCCTCTTCATCTGCAACGAAAAACGCCAACGCAATTGCCGCCATTGCAAACCCAGCCAGTCAAGCCGACTCCGACTCCGAGCTGTCCGACTTAAGACGAGCTTTTTGACACCTCCCCCGGCTGCGATCGGCTACTCTCGTCTACTTTCGAGGCGAGCCGCAATGTGTCTCAAACAAGCCTAGTCTCTCCACTAAACGGCTCGTTGCAGCTCTTGCCCCCCCTCCCTGTGAGCCCAGTGTGCTCCGATTGGTCAGCTCGGCCCCTCTGTTCTGATTTGTCAACCACCAGAGAGGCTCTGCCCCTGTTGACATCTGCCGTAAAGTGGTTTAGCGGGTACTTAGCCCATGGTGTTTTTTCGGCTCTGAGCGGAGTAGCAGAAATGAAATGGCGTCAGTAAAGCCATATATGTACGAACCGGAGTCCGACCCTGAGAGTGAAACGGACGTCGGAAGTCGTCAGCAAATCCGACGACTTCTCAGTTGCAGTGGGCGACATTATTGTCACAAAAATTACATACCTAGTTTCTATTCTTGAGGCAAACCTCTCCTGTGACAAATTGGCATCCAATGTAATAAAAAAGTCAATCAAAGAACTAGATTCCTATACCGGATCTCCTCTCTGGTAAACAAAAACACCCTGAAAACTCTGGCAGGAGCACTCATTCAAGGGTACTATGACTATGCTTGCACGTCATGGTACCATAGCACCTCCAAGGCGCTAAAAATAAAACTTCAAACATCGCAAAATAAACTGGTCAGACTACTGCTTGACCTTTCATCTAGAACCCACCTCACCTCTGCCCACTTTGACAACCTAGGATGGCTTAGAGTAGACGACAGAGTACAGCTACTTGCAATGGGCCTGGTCTACAAGATCCACTACACCTCTATGGTACCCATGTACATGTCAAAATTATTCCCAAAGGTCAAGGAATACCATGATCATAACACCAGAGGGAGCTCCACAAATCATGTGAAACCCAGATTTGGCACAAAAAAGGGGGAATACACGTTTCGCAATTATGCCACATCAAGGTGGAACGCTCTTCCCACAACTGTAAAGGAAAGTAAAACTATACTTACCTTCAAAACCTCTCTTAAAGAGCACCTTCGGGGGAGAGCATTGCAAAACTGGCCCCGGTAATGGTACAAATCTCAACCTGTCGTTCAATGGACAGCTCCCCCCCCCCCCCCATCTATGTATATACTCGCATTTTAGACTCTGTTACTAACTGTATATCTGTAGACTTGGTATGTCTTAAATGTCCGGTTAGGATGTATTAGAACGAAATCTAAAATGAAAATTGTAAACAAGCAATCTGTATGTAAAAAAACCACCTGTATGTAAATTGTAAATAAGCCATCTGTATGTCAAATATGTCTTATATGTCTTAAATGACATGATGAATTGGAAATGGGGGACCCTGATGTAAACAAGACGAAAGTCTTTCTCTGGTCTGCATCCCCTTAACAATTGTATGTTTTGAGCTGTACTGTACTGTACCCAATATACAAGCTGTTAATAAACTTTTCAATCAATCAATCAATCAATTCAATCAACCGTGATGGACCTGATCCACCGTCCCAAACAAGAATACAGCAGGCGGTTTCACAGTGGAACGTTTTAATTTTGTATAGCTGCTATATTTCAGATGTAATGTTAGAACTTCATCATTTATCTACATCACAGTAACAAGTGTGTCCGCTGACTAACCAAACTTTCCAACTGTTGTTATTTAGGTGCACGTGTGGAAACTGCGCAGTAATGCCTACCGAGGTGGAAAACCTCTGTTGCAGGGAGATTAGAAAGGTGACAGTGTAGTGCCGATGAAAGGGATGGGCGGTGTGTTTAGAATCAGGTAAAATACATGTCTGCTCTGTCTGACAAGCTAGGAATGACAAGCTAAACCTAAGAGCACACACTAAAGGGTCCGTGTGGCAACACTATACCAAAGGTGAATTATGGTCAAAACAGGGTGTCACCACAACAAATACAAAAACACCAACAGTAGCACACAACATTATATACACCATACATACTTGTCAAGTCAATAGACTATATGCCCTTTTATTTATTCTATAGTAATTGAATGTTTATTTTGTAAACCTCGCCATAGTTGGATTTAATTGCTAAACGTATTATGTTACAAATATCTTATCCTCCTATAGGTTTTAACACGAATGCACCAAGTCCCAGAACCCATTGTGTGCATGGTTGACCACCCCGGACTAGAACCAAACTGCCTCAATCCCTACACCCTGCAGAATCTCCACAATATTTATCGGTTTGATTATGGACCTTTGAGGCGTAGAACTTAAGAAGAGCCAGTTATTTTTAGCTATAATAAACTAAAATAAATAAATAAAATAAAAATAAATGAAAAATCAAATAATGGTTTGCTATATATGAATGATCTAGGAGCAAATAATTCAGGGAAGAAAGGCTATCAAGTAGTTCCATCAAACTTTATTTTGATAAATGTACAAATTGATCATGTGTATATATACACTGTATGAGATAAGATGGACCTTTATTAATCCCTGTGGGGAAATTCAGTTGTTCAAGCAGCCAGAGGGTAAGGGTGAAAAACAGGACAGCACATATATGTTATCATCCATTCCTCCTCTTATAGGCGTTTTAGGCATCTGGCCTATCGCAGCTTCGTAAGCTGGTGCTGGGGCTTTTTGGGACGAGGAATCAGAGTGGTCATCCCGTCGTGTGTGGTCCGCCGGATACGCCAGGAGTTCCCTGATCTGGCTGGACAGTACGTGGGCTTCCGACCACCCCTAGACTAAAACGTGAGACATGGCGGGCTACCACTTCCTCCTTTGAGGGCCTGTCAAATTGAGTGGACAGGTCCTTTGGGATGTTGATTTTATTCATCTCCTCCACAAAGGGTGTTGGGTCCTCAAAGACTTCTTCAAACACCAGCCTCATCAGCTCACCCACGTACACTGAAAAATATAACATTCATATAATAATTAATTATTTGTATACACTTATTCATTTCTCTTTTATTCTTTCATTGTACAGATAATTCAGTGTGGCTATCTCTCTAGCCCTCTATCGTCTGTTGCAGTCATCCCGGTTCTCCATAGATCTGGCCAGTTCTTTGGTACTTTGTGCTATAATAATTTAAAATGTAATTTATGTTTGTAATAAAAAAAATGTTGACAACTTACTGTATGTAGGCTCCTTCTTTACAGGCTTTGCGGTGCATTCTCCCCTCCTTGATTTTGGATAGGCCAATCTGTACACAGGTAGTCCTGCAGCTGTTGTGGCTTGCTCACGGTCAGCATTCTCATTGTGATGCATGGCTGCTAGACACAACCTATAGAATAGCAAAATAAAATAAGACTTTGTGTTTTGACAGAATAAAACCCTCATGCCACTAAACAGTCACTGTGTTATAAGATGCTACTGAATAAATTATACAGTGTATTACCTGCACAACATTCCCATGAAGGGAAAAACCACATTTTTGGGGGCAAAACGCAGAATCAAGCTGTGGAACGACTCCAGGGATGAGGTCTGGTAGTGATGGCTTAGCTTTTGCACATCTTTGAGAACTCTCTTGTTGTTGAGTATTTTCTCAACTTTGTGGAGTGTTATTGAATCTTGAGTAAAATTACAAAAACATCAACAGCCCATTAGAACATTACAACTTATCCTTATGAAGGAAGTGAAGTGTTTTTAAATGTTTCACTTGTTATTTGCAATTTTTTTATAAATATTGAACTTACCAGGTTTTAGCCATTTATTTTCATCCGTTGTGGCTCTTTCAGGATGTTCACACTTGGGGAATAGGGGGTCGTCATGCACGTGGATGTTTTGTAGGTGGTTGACCACTGACGTCCACCTTGCCACCTTCTCCGGCCCCGAGGTTGTGCTCGTCGCACTCCAGTACACATGGTTTTTTATGCTCTGCAGCCACCTCTTCAACAACTTGCAGTCCTTGTTCTGTGAAAGTTTCACAAGTTTCTTGGACAAACCTGATAAGAAAACGCATGTGAATATTCAAGCAATAGTGTGTAAATGATGTGCTGTGATGGACAATATTCAAGGGTGTGGTGGAAAGAGGGTGGCAGACAGAAGGGTAAGCACAGCATGTTAATTACAACCATAACATCCATATGATAATTGCATGACAATGGTCAGGGCGTCACCCTTATGTCTGAAAACATTTTATAGCCAGGAAACAGCCATACATATTCATATATGCATCACTGTAAATTCCCATCCTAAAGAGTACTCCCATTATCCTAAGATTAGTGAGTGAAATGTAATTTACAATGACAAAAGGTGCTGTGATCAAGTGGTCTGCCAGACAGTTTACAATAACAGAGGAAAGACCAGATTAGAGGGACATATAGGGGGATATCATTCATGTATCTATCCAGACATGATGTCATGTCTGCTGCTAAAAAGGACAGTGTCTCTGATTTGGTATTCTTTCATTACAACACATATGGATAAATACCTTTTTCAAAGTGCCAGACATCATAGAATTGTTCTATGTTGCGTTCCCTCAGAAACTTCTGGATCTGTGGATGACGGTCAGTCACAATGTACTCTACCGCCAAATCGTTTGACTCCAGATGATCTAGGCATCTTTTGAGTCCCTCCTTTTCCATGTGGTAACTACCACCTACTTCATTGCTCTGTTGGTGAATAAGAAATAGGGCATAAATACACTGAAGCATGCATCAACAGCCAGCACGCCTAAAATTACACCCAGAAAGATAATCCCACCTGAACAAGCTGGAAGTCCACAATGGTGTTGCTTCCCAGGTGCATTAGTGTGTAGCTCCCAAACTTAGCTGAGTGGCCTGAAGAAAATATAATACAGGAGGTTTCAAGACTTTTCAACAGAATTTCAATGGATAAGTAGATGAATTGTAATATATACCAGTAACTCTGGCACTAGATTGTCTTGTCTGTTTCTGCTTACCTGGAGAGTCTGCTCTCATATCTCCTGCAACTGTGACCTTTCCCCCCTGGTGGTGTAGTTGCTGGAAAATCTTCAGCTGCATGGCTCTGCATATCTATGAATAAATAGAAAAACAGGACAAGTATTTGAAAAGTCCGCTTCTGTCATTTTTCATATGCTATGGATGTAAGATGGTAAAATACCTTTTTTAGTTGGAAGAAGGAAGCACCAGTGAAGTATGTAGCAGCAGATAATTGTAAGTTGCCAACCGGGGTACTTCCAATGATGGGCTGGCTCTCCCATTGTCTGAAGTAAGTGCAGTTTGGACAACGCTGTTTGAACGCCACAAAAGTCCCATTTTTTCGTTTTTGGACATCACAGTCTGTCTTACAAAACGGACATTTTTCAAACAGCTGTCCGGGGCAGCTTTCAAACACAATGTACTTTGTATGTACAATGTATCCACTGTGCGTGGATCGTGTCTGAAGTCTAATGTAACGAAACAAAATTAACAATACATGTTAGATGTCAACTCTGAACAACAGTAATAGTAATGTGTACCAAATATACCAAACTTACGATACGTCAGATTCTTCTACAGTATCATCAGGGTGGTAACTCGAATCCAGAGTCTCTTCAAATTCAATCGAAGTCTCTCCTTGTTCCTGCTCCAACTCTAGTCGAGGTCTCTTGCTAGGTCCCAATCCTGGGCTCTTTATTGGTGTAGAGGACAAGGGGATTTCTGTGTAGGTGGAAGTTTTAATGCCAACACTTTTGAAAGACACCGTGGCCTGGATGCCTGTTAATAAAAAGGGAAAAGTGCATAAATACTATGTACATTAGATAAGACACTAATACATTGTAAAAGGCCAACAACTTGTGTACATCTGACAGATTTATTCATGAAAAATGTACAAACTACAAACAGCACTGTATTTATTGTAGTCAACATAACAGTATTTCTGTGATATACAATAATATCAAATAAGGTTTTATTTATAGAGCACATTTAAAAAAGATTTTTGGTCGAGCCCAAGTGCTGTACATGTAATAAAAGCACAATTAAGGTAATGTATCTGTGATTTGTCAGTGTTATAGTCTACCTTTGCTTCTCACGTGTGCCGATTTCAGTGTTCCCCGGGCCAACTGTGTAGCAACAGAAATGGCGGACACTTTACATTCCACTGTCTGTGTTCCCACAGACCGTGTCTCAACCCTCTGAGTTCCCACACAAACAGTCTGTGGACGGTCTGTTTGACATCCGACTGTACTGGAGCAGTTGGTATTGTGTTCCTGCTGTGAAGTACTCTAAGAAAGATACACATAGTATTCATACAATTAATTTTGTATCCGAGGAAAACAGTCAATTTCATAAAAGCAACACTTTTACAATTACAATGTTCTACAGATAGTCTGCTACGTTCGGTCATTCATTGTAGCTGGCATGAAAACAATGTTTTTCATAACATCTCTATGTTAGAGCTTCTAGCTTAGCTTATTAATGGTAGCTCGGTAGAATACACGAACGGCAACTGTAATTACTGACCGTACGGTTAAATCACCCGGAGTATACTGTCTATGAGTATTTCGTGTGTGTTTGCAGACATTCTCCTGCTATGAGATACATGTAAGTGTGTAAATTGAAAAGATAATACATTTGCAACATAGGTAGTCCAAATGTTTGGGAATGCATGTGTGTATAATAGGAAGATGAATCCACGAGGATATCCATCCAGGACCTATTACATTACATTACATTACATTGCATTTAGCTGACGCTTTTATCCAAAGCGACTTACAATAAGTACATTCGACCAGGAAGACACAACCTTGAAGAAAACAGAATCATATAAGTACATCAGGTTTCATAGAGCCAAACATTTCAAGTGCTACTCAACTGGCTTTAGGTAAGCCAGTCCTTTATTAGTATAAAAGTGCTTCGTTAATAGTTCTAACGCTCGAAGTGGAGTCGAAAGAGATGAGTTTTCAGTTTGCGCCGGAAGATGTGCAAGCTATCTGCCGTTCCTGATGTCAATGGGGAGCTCATTCCACCATCTTGGAGCCAGGACAGCAAACCCACGTGTTTTTCGCCGATGGGAACTTGGGTCCCCCTCGCAGCGAGGGCGCAACGAGTCGTTTGGCTGATGCAGAGCGTAGTGCACGCGCTGGGGTGTACGGTTTAACCATGTCCTGGATGTAGGAAGGGCCAGATCCATTCGCAGCATGGTAAGCAAGTACCAGTGTCTTGAAGTGGATTCTAGCAGTTACCGGAAGCCAGTGAAGGGAGCGGAGGAGCGGAGTGGTGTGGGAGAATTTAGGAAGGTTGAAGACCAGACGAGCCGCTGCATTCTGGATGAGCTGCAGAGGTCGGATGGCACATGCAGGTAGACCAGCCAGGAGGGAGTTGCAGTAGTCTAGGCGTGAGATGACGAGAGCCTGGACCAGAACCTGAGTCGCTTTCTGAGTCAGCTGGGGACGTATCTTCCTGATGTTGTAAAGCGTGTATCTGCAGCAACGGGTTGTAGCAGCGATGTTTGCAGTGAAGGACAGGTTGTTATCTAGGGTCACACCCAGATTCCTTGCAGTCTGAGTCGGGGAAACAACTGAGGTGCCGATGTTGATTGTTAGGTCAAGAGTGGGACAATCTTTTCCCGGGAGGAAGAGCAGCTCAGTCTTGTCAAGGTTGAGCTTGAGGTGGTGAGCAGACATCCACTGAGAGATGTCAGCTACCTATGATCCAGGACCACAGCCACGACTCAAGATCCAGGGCTCGCGATGCAGGACACAGGACCGCAGGATCATCCATGACTCCGGATCCCGGCGTATATAGACACCAAAAAGAAAGACATTTGGGGAAGCTGGATTAATCGGAACATGAGAGTACACAGGTATAGACAGAGAGAAGGAAGAAGTAAGATGTCCCCCGACAAACTAAGCCTTTATCAGCAAAACTAGGGGCTGAATCTAATCAGCCCTAACTATAAGCTTTATCAAAAAGGAAGGTCTTAAGCGCACTCTTAAAAACGGATAGGGTGTCTGCCGCCCGAACACAGACTGAGACTAAGTCCACAAATGTGGAGCTTGATAAGAAAAGGCTCTCTGTTAAAACAAAGAAAAAATACTTATAGTTTACATGATTACACAAATGCAGTGGCGAGCCGTCAGGGCCCTCTGTGAAGGCCTAACGGCCCGTCTACACTACAGGCATCAACAAATCTTGAAGCTGGGCGTGTCTGAAGCTTGCCGATTTTTTGCGAGCAACGCGACCAACAACCAATCACATGAATCTCCCGCCCCCGACATACAAAGCAATAGCAATGTTAAAACGAAGTAAACTGGATATAAACTCCCCAAACAGGCGAAAACCTACCAGTTTCACCCACTGTCTCTGCTACCTCCCTCCATGCCTGGTTCCTCCGGTTTGTATCCCGGTAAAAAGTAGGTTATTTGCTTACCAGTAATTTCTCGTTTTGGAATATGAGGAAATGAACTGCGGTCTGGCTCTCCCAGCTTGCATGCGGTTTGATTGGCTAGCGCTTGTACTGGCGGGATTTGCAATAAACGGGATTTGATTGGCTGATGCCAGCTTCGAAAGCATCGGGAGCATCAAAAGTTGAACATTGCTCAACTTTTGATACTCACGATGCTTGCAAAGCCATGCTCCGCTCCCCACAATGCAGTTCGGCGAAGATTCAAAATCTTCTACGTCACCCCATTCAAGTGAATGGGCGAAGCGTTGAAAGCATTTTTCGATGCCTGTAGTGTAGACGGGCCGTAAGATATTCTAAAAAATAATATTTTTTTGGTGTTCAATTTTTCATTAGTTTTACCAAAATGACTTGATTCAATTGTATTTAAAATAACATTTCCAAATAAATAAGTCCTTCGAATCTGCCTGTTCAGTTTCTGTTGGAATGTGAAGGGTTAAATGCAGTCTCTGCGAGTTATGTGAAGACGGGAGGGCTTGTTGGTCCCTCTGTAGATTCACAGAGGGCCCGCTATAGTAACTCAACGAGAGAGTAATGTCAGATGACAGATACAATTGACCAATCATATCTTCCCTCTAAATGGGCGGGCTTTATTTTCGCGGACTTTATGACAAGTTCCGCCCGCTGTGAAGTCTATGGCCGTGTTTCAATTCAGGGGTTGTATCCTTCGGGGCAGGGTTCGAGTTATAAACTGAGCTCTATGGGGGTCTTTAAAACTAACGCATGCCTGCGCCTGCACGCGCGCACGCACACAGGCATAGATTGCGCAATAATGTATTGCGCACCTTGGAGGTGCAGACTCCAACTGATGGTATATATTGCACACCCTTGAGAGTATACAATTAGTGTCTGATGTGTTAGGGCTTCAAAGATAATTACAAAATCACAAAAACTCAGGAACTCTGTACTTGTGGAGCGTCACAAACAGCGCCTCCGTTTATTAGGTTTTACTCTCTCTCCACAACTTCAGGACAGACTGCGCATGCTCAAACACATGAACTCGTACACAATCAATAATAACGTAAGAGCTATACAAATTAAAGAAAATACAAAAATTAGCTCTCACAGATAAAACGAGAGAGAGAGACTGATTTCGCTTTACGTGGTCCAACAAACACACACACACACACACAGACACACACGCACCTTTACGCAGATAAAATAGCCCAAAGTGGTCTGTTTTCAGCAGGCTGTGGTCGCGGTCCTGGAACCCATGATGTGGAAGTCCGATGTCCTTTATTTATCCACGATTGGATGAATGGGAAAGGGTCAAATTTGTTGATAGGAGGCCCATTTAAGTCCACAAACAACAATGCGTTGAGGCTTCTGGCTCGCAGCCGGTTCCTGGTCTTGCAGTCGGTGTCATTGCATGCCGAAAAGCCCCTCTCGCACTCTGCAGATTGTCGGAAGAAACAGTGTTGCTCGCCACTATCATTCTTTTCAAGGTTTTACCCTGATGTTCCTTGCCTTGTTGTTGAAGTTTCCGGTCTCTGAACTCACTGACAGCTTCAGTTGCGGACTCTCCGAGAAGTTTAGCAAACTTCCCCACCTCCCTTTCGCCAAACAGAACAAGCTCTGTCCTCTCTTTTGGCCAGAAGTGCTGATCCAGAGGCTTCAACATAGTTACCAGCTCACTATCGGGGAGACGCCTGGTGAGATTATCAAGGATTGACTGGTCAAATTGGGACTTCTTTACTTTAGGTTGAGTTTCTCTAATATCAACCCCTTTGAACTGGCCGCTTGTTATGCCCGCTTTGACTTTTAGTTCAGTTTTTCCCATCGTTGTCCTTCATGGCAGAGAAGCACCTCGATCGTCTGATGTATGTAGCGGCTTGCATCAACCAGGGACGTGTCGCGTTTCTGTAGTTTCAGGGAGAGACTTTGTAATTCACGTAACACGTCTTTCATTGTCGCTAAATCAGTGAGGAATCCAGTGGATGTCAGATGCTTTAGTAAACCAGTGTACTTGGCTTTCTCTGCACCGGAACGTGAGCCATCTTCACTAGCAGATTTTAAAGTGATTGTGCTAACACTGGGAAGTCCTTCAGCACAGCTTTGACAGTGTTGTAACTGCTGGAAAACCCATCTAATTGTAAAGACTTGTCCGATTTTCAGAATCTGCATGTTCAGTTCCGCAGCCGCTTCCTCTAACTCCCTGGCGTTTTTCGTGGACTGGTGGTAAAGAGAATAGAGTTTAGCGAGGAAAAACTCTAAATGATTACAGCCTGCCACAGCCTTCAATGAATCATTCACCGCTAATCCCAAACGATGAGCTAGACAATGAACTGCCTGAAGACGAGGGAAATCCTTTTTCAGCCTGGCTATGAGTCCATTCTGTCTCCCGGTTAGCACGGCAGCACCGTCTGTGGCTATGCTAATTAGGTTTTTACGAAGAAACTCTTCATCCATTCCCCCCGCCTGGAGGCTGTTTTTCAGTGCGCTACACAGCGACTCTGCATCAGTGCCCTGGTCCAGTTCAACAATGTCAAAATACACATTGTCCATATCTCCATTCCCAGTGACATCGCACCTGACATAAATAATCATGTATGCGCGTCCATGAATTGTGCTTTCGTCTAGCTTTCGTCTAGCGTTAGACTAATACGGGAATCAAGTGATTTGATATTAGAAATACATTTATTTTTCATCTCTTGTGCAATGTGCTCCACAATCTGGGCACATGAATGATCGGATCTGTGAGCAGGGCCGACTGTCGCACCATTCATCTCATTAAGTTGCATAATGGGTTTCAATTTTGTATAAGGCAACCTTTCTTTAGCGAAAGTATAGGCTGCCCTGAACGAACTAGCTGTCTCATTAAACAGGCTGGAGCTGAGTTCTGCAACTTTCTTCGGAAGCACTTGTTTTAGTTTGAGCTCCGCTATTTCAACAGCTCGTTTATGAGCAATAGAGTCGCGGTGTATGTAAAAAAAATTCCGCAACTGCTTCTGCACAGGGCTACTCACAGTCCCATTGATCCAGGCATCCGCCAAATGCGTTCCATATTTTTTCTCCGAAAGTAAGAGTCTTGGCTTCCTTACAGACGAGGCATCCAAGACCACTCTCCTTTGAAAACAGCCAGGGTGTTTCTTTCTTTCCAGGATCTCCACTGATTGTATCCCCAGTTAAGTGGCAGTCCTTCTGTAGCAGTACCTCCTGCCTCTCATGCCGCTCCGCTTCGGAACTTTCTTCGTGTGTGCAGGTGGTCCACATTCAACAGCATCAGGTCCGCTAGCAAAGACAGCATCCTCCGTAGCTGCAAGGTTAGTGCTAGCTGTCACGCTAGCAGGTGCATTTTGGTTTGTCAAAAGCTGTTTTTTGTTTCTTTGTGAGAAAACCAAAACTAGCCAGGCTTGTAGACCCCATCGGCAGCAGTGGCCTTTTTTTTGGGCGGCCATAAGTACTCGTCTGCTAGCCTACGGTACTCGTAGTATGTGTGTATCTTGTAAATATATTTGAATGTATGTTGATATAACGGTTAATTCTACGGGCTGCGCGCAGCACGTTCACAGCCTCACAGGCATAGATTGCGCAATATTTTATTGCGCACCTTAGAGGTGAAGTGCAGGCATATTGTCATTAAAGAGAGAATACGATGCGTAGTTCTTTTGGAAAACATTGTTTTGTTTGCCTATTTACCTTGTTAACGTAAATAATACTCATTACATTGAAAAATGCATTATTTGTGATCAAAATAATGGTTGTTGGTAATGTATATTAGCGACCCCCACAGATGTTTGATTTCATTGGGCTCCGTGGGAGCTCAGGCACCTCCTTATGGGAGCTCAGCTCCCATTGGCTCCCACGTACTCGAACCCTGCTTCGGGGGTACGCAGCCGACGCGGTCGACGCAGGATGCGGCCAGACGAGACCGCGTAGGCTGGACCGAGCGGCCCTACGAAATGAGACGGTCGAGCGGAGCGCTTCGTATTTACGTCACGTGATACGCGCTGTTCGGTTGCGCTGCTCCAGCAGCCTGCTAGCAAATTAGCTGAAAAGGATCCAGAAACTTTACTTTTAAATTTTTTGGAGATCACCGTCGGAGATTAAATAAAGAGAACCATGGCCAGGTAAATAAGATGAAGCTGTTCCTTTAGCCCCCAGTAATGTTACATTAGTAAGTTAACAAGTAAATTATATATAGCTGATGTAATTTAATCATATTATTTCATATTTAAAATAAGTCTTAATTTTTCTGTACTAATAAAACAATATGTTTTTTAAAGGAACAAAAGCATGTTGTATAGATTGATTGTTAACAATATTAGTGTTCTAATTGTAATAGCTGTGATTATAACAGTTTATATTCTCCTTCTTCCCCTAAACCTGCCCAGATGATGTCCCACTGACACCAGGTCAGCACCTCCAGGTCCTTTCTCCAGCACCTCGGGGGGTCCAGGTGGATGGCAGCTCTGTCCTGATGATCCGCTGTGCACTTTTCAGATTAGGGGTCCTTCTCCAGCAGATCCATTTCTCCAGAATTGTCCTAATTACAGAGAAAAACAAAAGAAAAAGAAAAAGTGAATTAATCATATTAGACACAGGGTTGCAGAAGTATTATTGCAAAATGTAACTAAGCATTTCAGACAAACAATCCTTAAGGGATCATTTTAAATGATGTACTGTTCTGGTTTTTTAAAAACTAAAGAGATGAAATGACAGTCACACGTGCATCCCTTTGACAGCACAAACTAACATCAAGCAAAAGGCTGCTGTCTATTTTTGATTGTCTTATTATTATGGGATTAGGATCAATTAAATAAACTTTAACCTAAATAAAAGATGATCAAATCTGGTGGAAAATATTTAAAATAGGCTTTTCTTTTAGCCCTACCTCAAAGCAGCATGAGCTGAATAAAAAGGTTGTAATTTTGTCCCAAAGTTTAATAAAACAGTAAAACATTGGAACATGTCAGAGAAATAAATAAAGCTAACAGTAGACGTCAGCGTAGCATTTTATAAATCCCACCGCACTGTAGGCTATACCGGTCTAAATGTTTTCACTTTGGTCTGTTCATGTAATATAAAGTATAACTTATCTATAACAGAGCCAAGATCTCTGTATGACTTTAGTAAACTTCTGAATTGAATTAAAAAACAAGTGTAAACAACAGTGCAGTACGTCCAGCTAGCTAGTTAGCGTCACATATTTATCCGTATTATTGAACGAAAATGTACGTTTTAATGCCCCTTGGGTTTGACGTGTGTGACGTCAGTTAATTTAAAGTAAGTTAAAACCCAATACTCACATTTATTAGTGATTCCTCCGCTTGCGGCTGCTTTTAAATCCACTCTGCTGGGGAGACCTGAAGCCATTTCATTTGAAAAAAACTCCCTCTTCCCTGCGCGCATTGCACCCTGGGATATGGTAGGCCACGGAGTGTATATCAGATGTATCCTTCAAATTGGGGAAAAGTAGGCCGCATTCATGCCCCTTTCACACCAGCGCTTTTTCAGCTCCGGCTCGGAGCTGGAGCCTGAAAAGCGCCGGTTTTTCCTGTTCACACCGCAGCGGCGCCGGCTCTTAGCTCCGGAATCGGGTTCACTTCCAGCTCCAAAAAAATTGTCGGTCTAGAGCAGGAGTGGCCAACCCGCGGCTCTCGAGCCGCATGCGGCTCTTTGCCCAGTCTCATGCGGCTCCTCAATTCATATCGAATTGTAATTGTGTTTTGTTTTTTTACGCATATGTATCCCAGTTCACAAAGGGTTAACAACACACAAAGAAGTGCTTTCGCCAATCAGAATGCAGATCCTGCAGTACTGGAGGCGGGCTTTACTGCACTCGCGATGTGACAGTGAAGGGAGAGATCTGCTTTTGATTGGCAGAAATATAACTCTGATAAAACCGTAATAACTCAATATAATGTTGTCAAATCAAAATGGTAACAATTTGCAGTGGTATATGTGAGAAGGCCTGCTCCCGGAAAGCTGGCTACTGGCACAGAAGGACTCACAAATTTGGTGATTCGCGGTAAAAAAATAAAAAAGAGAGAAAGTGCATCTCTGTCAGCAGAGCTTCTGTCAGTTAGAGGGTTAGGTAAAAGTTGAGATGTCATGTGAGGAGAATTAACTAAAATACACGTCATTTATTTACATTTATTTTTAAATGACGGTCATGAATGTGCGTGTGAGATACAGGCAGAATAAAGGCCAGGCATATTTTTATTAAATGATGCTCTTTCATGCATTTGAGCCCCTTCCACATCCTCTGCACGTTTCAAAGAGGCAACATGCATAGTAAGATAACTACTTTTTTCAAATGTTTTTAACTGAGAGTTTGTGTGTGAGACACAATATTAATGATTGACAATAACTGGCCTCTGGTCTTAATACTGGTAGGAGAGGTTTAAGTCAATTTCTGTCAATATCATGCACTGTGACATTTATAGGAAATCTGGCTGAGCAGAGGTATATGTTTCTGTATGTGAGAGGGTGTGTGTCTCTATGGGAGGGTGTGTCTTTGAGTGTGTGTGTGTGTGTGTGTGTGTGTGTGTGTGTGTGTGTCAATTATTGTTCATTTTTAGATTTTCATTTTGTATGTGTGAGAGAGAGGTCGGGGCACACAGAAAGGCTGAGTGCAAAAGAGAGAAGGAGAGAGAGAGGTCGGGACATACACCCAGCATGTGTGTATGATGTGGCTCTTTGCAGTAACACAGTAAAATGATTGGCTCTTTACCTCTGATTGGTTGGCCACCCCTGGTCTAGAGGCAAGAGCTTCGGAGCTAAGAGGTGGCGTCGCTTACGTCTCTCTTACGTCGAGGCGTGCAGGAAACTAAACCCTCCTCCCCTGAACATGGGTCGACTGTCATGCCTGCCTACAAGCAGTAGTGCTTATAAACACACTTTATAAAGTCAGGCAACACTAACCAGGCTTCGTGTGATTCTGTTTATTTGTACCTTACTTTGACCATCCGTTCATTGTTATTGATCATTGTGGAGAGAGGCAGACGTTTTGTTTTGTATTATAGCAGCTATCGGATGGAATCAATACATGGGCTGCACAGGTTGTCGTGTCCGACTATCACAAGTAGAATCATAATAAAAATACGCCGGTAAAATGTGCGTGTAGAAAACGGTTTATGCCACAACAGGATAGCAATAGCAAGTAGTCAGTTTAGCTTCGGTTGCTATGCTAACATCACCCATTTTATACCAGAGAAACTTTCATAACAGCGTTGTGATACCAAACAGCGTCAATTCAGACTGACACACATTCACTTAGGCTAAGGGGAACTGGGGATATGTATCAGCTGCTTGTGTGAGTCGGACAGTGAATACTTAGAGCTGCTGCAGCAGTGTGAGCTAACCGGGAGCTAACGGAGGAGAATAAACTCCCGTGGAAGAGCAGCCAACACTGCAGTGGTCGGTAAATGCTGCAGAAACACATTAATAAACAATGAACCACGGCACTCTGGAGCAAAGTATAAGGTTGGAGAAGTCGTTATTCAATTTAATCTGGCTTCATGTGATTAAAAGCAACACGATCATCGACCCGACGCAGTTGTTGTTGTTGTGAGTGCCGTAATGCCGTTGGGGAGCAAATCAGCGATGTAAACGATGACGTCATGACGCAGCAGCGGCAGCACCAGTCGGGTGCTGGGCGGTGTGAACAGAGCGGGAGCAGAAAAGGGAAACCGGAGCTGAACCAGAAAAGCTCCCGCTCGGAGCTAGAAAGGGAAAAGCGCTGGTGTGAAAGCCGCATCAGAGGAGTCTCGTCTTTTAAAAAAAATTGGGACAGCCTTCTTTCGGCGGAAGTGACGTGTGCGGTCTACGAATGCACCCTTCGAAGTATGCAACCCCTGAATTGAAACACAGCCTATGCAAGTGGTGCAGTGACGCATCCTAAAGCCCGGAAGTAAGCTGCGCTCGGATTCCCTCGACAAAAGAGCAATAGGATTTCTCCATAGAATTTTGGAAAATAGCTTGAAATAAGATCTGTGGAAAACGAACCTGTTTGATAAATGCACGTTTTGTTCAGCCGGATAATATCCACATGTCTACCATACTTTTATTATTTTCGAATCATAAATCTAATCGATAGATTTATGATCGATAGATTTATGATTAGCATAAGTTCGTTCATGATGGCTCACTTCAGTGATAGTGATGACATCGTTTGCAAAATTATTAACAGAGTCATTTTGAAAATTGAGTTACAATGATAAACTGGAGTGGCAAAGGATCAGCTTTGGGGGTGGGGGTGTTACGTGCTTGTGTTGCTTTTCTCTGTCTCTCTGCTGCGCAGGTACACCTGGTCCGCCCCTGGCTCCGCCTCCCGCAGGTGTCCTAATGACATTCAGCTGGGGACTTTAAAAGGAGAAGCTGGGGGAGATGGCCCGCCCATCCAGGATTTGGGCCTGCTGTTTTAATCAGGGCTGAATACAACATTTTAATTGTTTTATTATTATGTTTATTGTTATTTGTAGGGCTTTGTCCTAATATTTATTTTAAACTATGTTGAAAGATTAGTTTAATATAATTGTTTTATTTTGCAATGAAATTCTGAATGAAAGGCTGCGCGCGAGACTGGTTTTTCGCTGAGTTGAGTCGTGTGGGTTTTTGAGTGAGATGCGGCACAGCAGCCTGTCAGTTTACTCTTGCTAGGTTAGTTTGGCTATTATCATTTATATTTATCTGCAACAATGGATATCAGGAAGTGGTTCATGAAAGGAATATGGCAACTCAGCGCCAGATGCAGGCACATTAGAAGACATCAGTTACGTTACCAACAAGCTAGCAAGCCAGCCAGGGACAAGGGAGGCTGGCAATCAATTATATTTTGAAGAGAAATTGACTCTCAAGCCGGCTCTCTCACAAACTGCTTTGTGCGCAAGCAGACCGCTGCACACCCTCTCTGCCTCGCTCAATCTCTCTCTCCCTTTCTCTCCATCGCTCAACCTCACTCCACCTCTCCACCCTGTGTGCGCTCCTCAAGTTTGCCTGCGTGCTTGCCCAAGTTGGCACAGCGTTACAAATGTGCCACAAAACCAACCAATAGATGTAGCCTATAATAAGACCGTCAACAGCCTTATGTTATGGCAACCTAAAACCCCTCTCTTTCCGTAACAACAATTCACGCGAGCCTCCCCCCCTGGTTGACAATTCAGATTTCCCGGGATATGTAAGTTTCGGGGTGGGCCCGCCCTGGTAAATCAAATGCCCGCCCAGAGACGTATGTCTGCCGCCGGGTCTGATGACAAGCATGATCATTTCTGACGTGGGTTTTAGCTAATCTGAACAAAACTTTGTATACTGCTTTTAACCGGTATTCCTGCATCTTGTGTAACACCCTCTCTTGTATATAAGCATGTGAAGGACACTGTTCAGGAACTAGTTGTTCCATATGCTGTATGTGATGACTACTTCCATTCTTGCAAGGATAATAAATACATGTATCCTGTTATTGA